GGGCGCCAGGCTCCAGAGGGTGGATGGTGCCCTGGGGGCCAGGGTAGGAGGAGTGGGGAGGGGGTTGGTGAGGTCCAGGCAGGGGGTCAGTGGGGTGGGGGGTCAGTGGAGCCGGGGCAGGGGCTCAGGGTGGAGGCTGGGGGGGCAGGAGGGGGGCTCCCTGGAGCCAGTCGCTCAGTTCCCCCCTTGCCCCCAGCCTGGCTCTACGGGGACCCACGGCAGGTGATTTACCCCCGGAACTCGACTGGCGCCTACTGCGGGATCGGGGGCAATGTGTGAGTACTCCCCCGGCACCCCCTCTGCCCCCCACCTCGCCCTTCTCAACCCCTGATCCCCCTCTGCCCCCGACCTCATCCCCTGACCCCCCCTCCACCTCCCACTGCCCCCGACCTCATCCCCCAACCCCCCTCTGCCCCCCACCTTGCCCCTCTCCCTGCCCCCCGACCCCCTCTCTGCCCCCCACCTTGCCCCCACTCCCTGCCCCCGACCACCCCACCTCATCCCCTCACCCCTCTGTGCCCCCCTGCTCCACGCCCCGCCTCATCCCCCTGCCTTGTCCCCCTCCTGCCCCCCCAACCACCCCCACCTCATTTCCCCACCCCTCTCTGCCCCCCGCCTCATCCCCCCTCCCTGGGCCGCGTCAAACCCAGGGCGTTGCGTACGGGGGGCGGCCACTGGCTCTCACCCCTTCTGTCATCTTCGATTGGTCCCCCCGCTCCAGCCTTCTGGTTCCTCTCGCCCTGTCTCCCCCCAGCCCTGTTGCCCCTCGCTCTGCCCTGTCTCCCTTGGTTCTCACCCCTTCCTTCCCCCCTGGCTCCTTGCCTCGTCCCCCCTCCCTCCTACTCCTCTTCCTCCCCCATCCTCGCGTCTCTGACCCCCCTCCCTCTCCCCCCAGGGGCAAACCCTACGTGCTGTATTTCGACCTGCTCCGGTGCGTCACCTCCCTCAACATCCTGGCAGCGGCGATGAACGGGCTGCAGTGTCCCACCACACAGGTACGGCCCGGACGCCTGGGTCCTCTCCCGGGCGCGCTCCGGGGAGTGGGGGCTGGTGTGTCAGAGCAGGGGGAGCTGGGAGCCAGGACTCCTGGGTTCTGTCCCTGGCTCTGGGAGGGGAGTGGGGGCTGGTGTGTCAGAGCAGGGGGAGGTGGGAGCCAGGACTCCTGGGTTCTGTCCCAGATCTTGTCGCGGGGGTGTCTGGTGGTTAGAGTGTGTGTGGCGGGGGTGGCTCGTAGCCCTGGACTCCTGGGTTCTCTCCCCAGCTCTGGGGTGGGGGCGGTGCCGTCTGGTGGTTAGAGTGGGGAGGGGGCTGGGAGCCAGGACTCCTCAGGTTTGTCACCTCCATTCGCACCCCTAGACGTGACCCCTGCTGTGTGATCTTCTCTGACACGCCCCAGGTCTGCGTTGCCTCCTGCCCCGACGCCTTCTGGGTGGCGCCACTCGCGGATGTGCCTGGGACGAAGCCGGTGGCCGTGCTGAACCAGACCTGGTGTAACCCCAGCCTGAACCTATCCACCACCAGCCTGGTGCGTGTGACCCACAGCCCCCCCTCACTCCTGACCCACAGCCCCCCCACCCCCAGTCCCCCT